CCCACACCTAGTGTTGTGTGCCCTGTGTTTGTGGTGTGTTATGTAGACCCCACACCTAGTGTTGTGTGCCCTGTGTTTGTGGTGTGTTATGTAGACCCCACACCTAATGTTATGTGCCCTGTGTTTGTGGTGTGTTATGTAGACCCCACACCTAGTGTTGTGTGTCCTGTGTTTGTGGTGTGGTATGTAGACCCCACACCTAATGTTATGTGTCCTGTGTTTGTGGTGTGTTATGTAGACCCCACACCTAATGTTATGTGTGTACTATGTTTGTGGTGTGGTATGTAGACCACACACCTAGTGTTGTGTGTGTCCTGTGTTTGTGGTGTGTTATGTAGACCCCACACCTAGTGTTGTGTGTCCTATGTTTGTGGTGTGTTATGTAGACCCCACACCTAGTGTTGTGTGTCCTGTGTTTGTGGTGTGGTATGTAAACACACCTAGTGTTTGTTACCTTCTTTAGTTAGTAAGGTGAACATTTTAAGTTCAATAAGACTTTAGAAAAAGTCTTACATTCACATTTCTGGTCGAGTGTGTAGATTTAATACTAGAACATTGGTCAAGAAATCTAGCTAAATTACTTTTATTGTAGCTACCTGTTATTCTGGGTCATTCCACTATGTAAAGGCGGACAGCGGTCTGTTTCACTGATGGGTCGACGTATAACTAAAGGATATTACCGCCAATATTTGTCTATTAGAATAGAATGACCATATCTAGCGCATGCGCACTGAGAAGTGTAGCATTATAGAACCCTGTATGTAGTGCTATGACATCTTAGTGGGAAACAACAACAAACAGCTGCCACCAGATTTATATGTTCATCATTAGACTCACGTATAAGATGGCTAAAATATAACCATAATTCATGTTCTTCCAGTCTGTGCAGAATTTGGCAGTAAAATAAATCAACTACTTATCAAGGACACGTTAAGATGTTAAAATGACTTTGTGCATAGCAAAATACTTTGCACTAATGTAAAGAAATTACATTTTGCTGACATTTAGCATGCTTTGCTTGTGTCCAACTAAGTTTTGTAAAAGTGTCAGAAAAATATCGTTACTTACAAATCAACGTCTGCTATTGCCAATGAAAACAGGATTACTGTAAAAATAGGAACTTTGATGATACTATATAATAGCCGAAGAAGGCTGATTGTCAAAGAAAAAAGGCCAATAGCCTTTTTTGTGGAGTCTGCTATCTTTCAAATGATTATGAGTGAATGGTTGTTTAGTTTTTCACTAAAGAAGTATTAAACCTGCAATCAAAATCCTTCGATTAGTAGATGTTATTGAACTATTGTCCAAGAAATTTCCATGCGACGTTTCGAGTGAAAATCTGCAGAACCGACCAGGTACGCCTGTGCTGCCACCCTATGGGAAATCGTGCTTTGAAAGCTATTTTAAGAAGTTTTCTGTTATTGGCTGTCTTACGCTCGTTGCGACATGCATGGAAGGTAGTGTGTATAGGTTACGCACAGCTGTTTAATAGTGTTGAACAAAACATTGCAGGTCTTAAGCCTCGTGGAAGGTACGTATTAATGTATATGTACTATTTACCGTTTAGGCATCGTGGAAAAAAGCGTATCGCAGGGTTTTTGATTTGCTTTCTTTGACAGAGTATTAGCAGGTTTGTTGTGGTTATACATGATTTTGAGTTTTGTATTATTAAAGTATACTATATCATTATATGTACATTTAAACTGGTCTGATTATTAGTTTTACGACCATATTGAATGTTAATTGTTACTATTTGTAAAACAATTAATAATATTAGCAGTTACTTCTAAACTCTAAGTCTAACGTAACGATAAGCCTTGGAAAACTGAACAACATGCTGGTGTTTACACTGACTTTGCCAAACCTTTTAACGAACTAGAAATTTGTAGACCTAGAAAGATAACCAGAGTTAACATATTATGATTAATGTTATAGTTGAGATGAGACCACTGAAAATGTGAAATTAATTTAAGTTAAAATGGCTTTCAACTTCAACAAGCAGTTAGAACTTCTTCAGTAATGCAAGTTGTTATAACTGTGGAAGTACAACAGTTAACTTATGTAACGACTTATGGCTTATGAAATGTCAATATTATATTATTATATAATAATAATATTGAGTTGAGATACAATTTATGAATTAGCCTTTAATTTTATATTTATATACGATAACATTAATTAACAGTTATTATTTATGTGGCGTAAATATATATATATATATATATATATATTATTTTTGTGTTAATAGTAATATACGAGGTGCAAAGTGTAATTTTGTAATTAAGTT